GTGCTGATGCAGTATGGAATCTTTGCCTCTTTTTACTAAATCACTGCTAAAGAGCACTATATTGAAGTGCTATCTTGTAGATAAGACAAAGCCAAGTTTGACCATTGTCTGAAATGTGCCCCATTGCTCCCACTCAATCGTCTCCTTACCGGATCATTCCGGAAGGAAGCTGAGGGGAAAGTTCTAACTTGGCAACTTGAATACTGTTTGTTTAGTTTTCTTTATTACACTGTTTTTAACTTCACTATTTGGAGACCTGCTAATCCCTATGAAATGGAGAACTATATGTTAGATATGCAATTTAATTTCAGAATTCTCCTTAGATTTTCTTCATCCAGATTCTTTGTATCATTAATATTATATCTTCTCCCCTGTTACCTTGTTTCTATTCTGCAATATTGCTTTCTTTTCTGTCTTTTCCCCTCAGTTAGGAATTGCTGCTTTTTCAGTCTCCAAAACACAAATTAAGTGTCTTGTGATACAAGACACATTTTCAAAAATAGGAACCTTAGAACTATGCTTCCAGGCCAATATTTTAGTGAGAACTACCGGGCATGCTGCCCAAGAGATCAGGCCAACTATTTTAGTGCCTAATTATGCATTTAGAATCTAACTTAAGGTCTTATAAAAAAAAATGTTTGGCCACTGTGTAACAGGGATAATGAGCTATCTTAAACTGAAATCTTACAATAATTTTAGCTCCATAGAATATGGCGCTTATTCCATTTTAATAATTTTTTTTATATTAATAGGAAACAATGGCCAGATTCAGCTATGGCAGTTTTTGCTAGAACTTCTTACTGACAAAGATGCTCGAGACTGTATTTCTTGGGTTGGCGATGAAGGGGAGTTTAAACTCAATCAACCTGAGCTGGTTGCACAGAAATGGGGACAACGTAAAAATAAACCCACCATGAACTATGAGAAGCTTAGTCGTGCTCTACGGTAAGAAGCTCTACTACTAAATTCTTTCATAAAATGGTTGGATACTTTTCTCTAACAGCCATTATCAACCTAACAATTAATGTAAGTGCAAATATCTCTTTGTCTGTGTAGATTCTTGCATTGGTACCCTTCCTATATATTGCTGTCCTTTGATCCTTATCTGCTTCTTTTTAACTATCCAATCTTTAGGTGTTTATAGATTGTCAGTTCTGCCTACTTGTTTTTCCCTTTGATATTGTCATACCCTCTGCTCCTTGTCCCCCCCCCTTTTTTTCCTTCTTCTTCCCCCTTCTGCCGTCTCCCCTATTTATTTTGGGTCTGCACATCCTAAACTCAAAACTCCAGTCATCTGAAGAAGTGGGCTGTGCCCACGAAAGCTCATGATACCATCTATATGTTTTGTTAGTCTATAAAGAGCTACCAGACCATTTGTTGGATTTTTTTAGTTTATCCTGTACGGACTAACTCGGCTACCCCCTGAAGTATTCGGCCAGTTATTTATAATCTCTTGTTATTGTGCATCAGTTAAAAAAGACAGGTGCAGACAAGCTGTGCTGCCACCTGCTGCCGATCTCATAAGCTAAGCAGGCATAGGTCATTATTTGGATGTGTGAGGAGTTGCTTTTCGGAAACAGATAGAAATGGCTAATAAGATTTGTATTAGGGATGTTAAAATGTGTGTGTGTGTGTGGGGGGGGGGGTTGTAAATGTGTAACCACTGAAAATTTTTCAGTGTTTACATGTTGGAGCCGGTGCACACAGGGAGCTCACCTGCCTGCCCCCACTTCATGCTGCTACCAGGGACAAGGGGAGGCGGGAGCTGGTGCTCATGGGGAGCCTGCTTAAAATCTGTCTCCTGCCAGTTCCCACTGGCACCCTCGCTGCTCCGTACTGCTGCCTCTAATACAGGTAGCAGTGTGGGGAGGAGGGGGCCTTGTGTGTAACTGTAAAGGTTAACTGATGAGTCCAGGCTCATCGGTTATCCGTTTAAATTGTACACTCTCAATGAATTGCCGAAGTATTAGCTATGTCATTTCTCAATAGAAAAGTGATATTGCTAATTTTTACTCTTGTGCTTTACAAACAAATGTAACTTTTATTTCAGCATAATTTGAAATGTCAACAGAAAAATAATTCCCTAAACATTCATTTTCTGTTTGTTTTTGCTCTCTGCATTGTTCATTGCATATGTAACAAAATTCTGTAAAAATTGATACACGTTTCTGTGTAGTTACTATACTGACTAGATTCCAGTTCTTGAGTTTCTTCTAGAATGAGACCTAAAACAACCAGTCTATGAGCTCTCAACGATACCCTCGCTTTTTGGCCTTTTGATATGTGTAGACAAACTCTGTGCTCACAAGGCCCTCTGATACACTCCACTTCAGTTTTTAATTACCACAGTCGCAAGTGCATTGAATCATACTTCATTCCAGTTACAGAAAGTTTTCACCAGTCTCTGTAGTTTGCCAAACCAACCTGGGTTTTCTCATTCTGAAAGTTTCAGATTTTGTTTGTCTGAAGTATATCATCTTCAGAATTTTGGTGGCTCTACAGAGATTTGACTGGGTTTCTTAGTCCCCCATCCATCCTTCCATTTTCTCATCAGAATTGGGAGACAAAAGCTAGTTCTGTGTGTTTCAATTTTGTTTGAGATTTAGAAACCCTCTATTTCATCCCAAAAGTGCAGATGATCTGGCACTTCGTACAGAATCATCCTTTTCAAAGAATAGAAAATCTGAGAGCCAACAAAGTGTCCACCTATGTTATGCTAGGAGCATAAGTTAAGTGTGGGAATCCAGTCAAATGAAATGTTTAGAGAAACTGAACCCCATAGGAAGGTAATATTCTTTCATTATATTTGTGCCTTGCACAAATTTACCACAATCGCATTAAACCTCACAAGTCCAAATTCATTCATGCCTGAGGTAAGGGACAGCACAAAATATATATGTAAAAGGTTACATTTGGGCATTATGCATCTTAGTTACTAATGGTTTTGTAGTGTCTTTGGAATACTATAGATCATATATATGTTTTAGATCAGGGCTCCTCAACATGCCGCCTGCTTGTATGCAGCCTGAGGCACCTTGAACTGCTTCCCGGGCATGCCTCATTGCTGTGGGCTCCAGCAGCAGCACCTCCCCACGAGCCACACCGCATTGATCCAGGCCACGTGCGCAGGAGCTGTCCACTGGCAGGGGGATGGGGGCAACAAGAGGTAGCTGCAGAGCACGCCTGCTGCGTCAGCGGCAGCACCTCCCCATGAGCAGAGCCACACAGCACTGTGCAGCACTGAGCCAGGCTGGCAGGGGGGCAGCAAGAGGTGGCGGCAGAGTACCTTCTCCATCATGGGAAGTAGCAAGTGACAAAGTTATGGGTCCTCAGGTCAATACATGAGAGTGTATGCCGGGGCTACTCAACTTTGGAAGCCCCAGGGGCCACAATGATATCCACAGCACATGCCAAGGTGCGCATGGCTACGAACGTTCCATTGAAGGTACATGCGCATGCCCCCTTCCTGATCCTGATTTCCTTTGCAGGGCAAAAAATCCCAGACATTTTTTGCCTTTTAAAAAACTCGTCCAGATGGCAATTTAACATATGAAAACAAGGACACGTCCAGTTTGGATTAATGGTAACCCTACCCAAACCCCAGCGCAGACCTTTCTCACCCTGGCCTTCCTGCCTGGCTCCACCGCCGCCTTGCCACGTCTCTTGCTACCTGGCTCAGTGCAGCGCAGCACGGCTCCACTTACAGGGAGGCACTGCCACTGTGGTTTATGCGGCAGGCATGCTCTGCCGCCACCTTTTGCTGCCCCCCTGCTGGCCTGGCTCAGTGTGGCAGGGTTCTGTGTGGCTTTGCTTGCAGGGAGGTGCTGCCACTGTGGTTCCCTGACCCCCCGCCAGCAGGCAGCTCCTGCGCATGCAGGCTTGGCTCAGTGTGGTGCGGCTCCCAGGGAGGCGCTGCCGCTGGAGCCCATAGCAACAAGCATGCCTGGGAAGCAGCTCAATGTGCCTCGGGCTGCGTACAAATGGGCCACAGGCCGCATGTTGAGTAGCCCTGGTGTATGCTGAAGCACATCACATACAATAGTCTGGTTAATTGTCCTTCTAGCTGAAATGACCAAGAATCTCTGTCCAAGGCAAAAATAATGAATGAAATCTTGCAAAAGGGCCATTGCAAGATGATGACCCCACATGATGCTCAATCTTCAAGCAATGTGCATTTCTGTGGGATATGTAGTGGTGGTTAATTTAGTAATATGGTTCTCCCAATGGCTGACAAATAATTCAAGAATTCATATTCCACTGCCTTCTCTCTTGGGCTTTTCAGCAAATGTAAAGAGAAGACTAAAAGGTCTAGTTTTATGTTAGCAAATAACATAAATACTTACAAATTTCTTACAATGAAAAAAGAACCTACCTTTTAACACTACAGTATCCTTAAGCATGATCACTTTGTGTGGGCCTCATGCACTGAATATTGCTCTGTTACTTAACATTGACTTTTTTGTGTTTGTTTTTTTCATTTAAGGTATTATTATGATGGAGATATGATCTGCAAAGTACAAGGCAAGAGGTTTGTGTACAAATTTGTCTGTGACTTGAAAACTCTGATTGGATATAGTGCAGCAGAGCTGAACCGATTGGTCACAGAGTGTGAGCAAAAGAAACTGGCAAAAATGCAACTCCATGGCATTGCACAGCCAGTCACAGCAGTGGCACTAGCTACAGCATCTCTGAAAACTGAGAAAGACAATTAAGCACTAGGACTTGAAAGAGGGATTCTGAGGCCTTTCATATATACTCAGAGCAGTTACCTTTATCAGAATTGGAAGCTTCTTTTTATTCCTTGACATTACAGTATGATGCATGATTTTCTACAAAGAACTGAGACACCCATAAATTTGGATCTTTAACAGCATATATTTCAGTGTATCTGAAGGGATCACCACAACTACTTCAGTGTGAAGACAGGTCCACTGCGGCATGTAGTCTGCTGAATTTGATAAGTAATGCTGAACTGGTCCATGTTGTATGTCCAGCACTATAAAAGATTTGTTGCAGCATTTAAGAAAAGTGAAGCATCTACAGGAAACAGACTGGTCAATAGTTTGAATTCAACGCTTTCTACAGTTTTTTTTATTCTCGGGTCAACTACAAAATGGAATTGGATGTTTACACAGTTAAAGCAGGAGCTGCCCTTAAACATGCCTGTTAATCTCATCTAATCAAGCAGAGCAGAAGGAACAGACACATTAAATAATACAAAGTATCAAGTCCTTAAGACAATTTCTCTGCTTACAAGCAAAGAAAACTAAGAATAAACAAAACTGAAGATCAGTGCTGAAGAAAATCCAGGTTTAATTCTGGCTTAGATGAAAAGCCAATTATGAGTTTCATTGTAATATGTAGATAACAGGCATATACGAGGGCAGGTTCTTAACTTTTTTGAAACATGTTATGCTGGCTACTCAGCAAAAGAAAATAAAGATGTCCCTGTTTTTTCTGTCAGGTGTTTAAAAACTTGTAAAGTTATTCCTCACTTGAAGAGTAGTTTTGATTCTTGCTCTATACTGCAAAGTATATTAACCAATACTCCTTATACCTGCACTATAGTTGATCTTAATGACCTGAAGACTTAAGTTAATCATATTCAGCAGTCCCTTCCTGTTTAGAAACATGAGTTGCAAATAAGTTTATAAAAATCTGAAGTTTGACTTTCAGATTATTGTATAATCTGCCCTATTAAAATATGAAAAATATAGTTTATTTAAAATTAGTTTCTTTTCAAATTTCAGATAATGTGTTATGGCCTCAGAAACAAAACTACACATTCCTGGGAACTAAGCGGGACACAGTTACATATTTACATATATTTTTCAAAAATGTATAATTGGATTGTATCCTGAATCCAGAGACTGGTATAAATACTACTTTATTCAGGCGTATACATGTTAATATGTACACACTGTGTCTCCATGATTTGTGAGCTTTCCCATTAATATCTTACTAAACCTCTTCTGTTAGTCTGAATAGAGCACTTTTTTTACTTTTTGCCCCTTTGTTTAAACAGTATGAATATTTTGTTACCATGCATTTTTGGTGTTCTTGTAAGCAGATTTTTTTAAAATAAGGAACCATTAGCAGAAGCTGCAGTGTCACTTGACAAGTAGTAAAAATATAATTGCATAGGAGAAAATCTTTAGTACTATGTTGAAAGGTCAAGTTACTCTTAAAACTCTTAAGTCAAGAATCTGGCTATACTGACAGATGCTTTAATGTATAATTTACTTAAACTGAGTGGTGGAAGCACTTTTTTATTGTTATTGACAAGTAAAGAGAGACTGGGGTTTATTTTTTAAGGATATGTGTGGAATCTGGTTGTTTTCTTGGAGGTGCATCTAAGTGCCCTTGCTGTAGACCTTAGGATTTCTCGTATTCTGTTTTGTCCATCTACCATTTAAGTTTCTCTAGTTACAGTTTTAGCTTCTGTTGTCAAATTCCTCCAATGACTTTTAATTTACCATCCTTGAATTACTAAAATACTCCCTCATTTGCCAACAGGCTGAGCATGCAGCTTTTGACAGATGTATTCACTTTACAAGAAGCTACACAAATCCTGCTTAGTCCTTTACAAATCCATTAGTTACAGATATGGGTACATCAGTCAGAAGTCAAGTCATATGTCTAGCTTGTATGACTGCTATAGTATAGTTGTAGCCCATTTTCACTATTTATCAAGCATTTGAAATCTCTTATGTAAATAGCTGAAGTCTTTCTCTTAGGAAAGGGGGAAACTAGATTGTAAGTTGTGTGGCTAAGACTTTTTTCTGTGTTTGCAATTCCATGTGTATTGCTCTGTTCCACACAAGCCACATTTCAAGTAGCTAATTAATAAATGCGATACAAACACCCCTTACAACACTGATGTCTTTCTAACAGATCTAAAATACTACAAGTGGACAGAGAGAAGAGTTTAAAATGACCAATAAAATCAGTCTAATGAAGAATGAATTAATATCAAAGCTAGCAAGTAAAATTGATGCTTTACCCTTGAATTTACGCAGAATAGAATAAAACTATTAGGAAAGATGGTGTCAAAACTTCTCTTGTAAATACATCTTATTATTTTGAAGCCCTTTAATTTAGTAACTATTATCCCCTTTGGATTTGTCTATATGCATTTTATTTTCTGGTAGAATCTGCTGCTTTTCCACCATGTTCTTTTAATTAAAAAAGGACCAATGCAGTTTTCAATCAACATAGAGCCGTTGTCAAATTTCCTGTAGCTAAGGGAGAAATCTGACTAACTTGATGTCTTCAATTAAATAAAGGATGTAGAATATTATATGTCAATATAATTGTTCTGTTGCTGCCAGAAAAAAATAGAAAGTATAATCCCAATTTTTTGTAAAACTAAGGGGTTTTGCATACATTTTTACTCTTTAAATAAAGACACTTATACTCTGCTAATAATTATGTATTTCTTTTCTTTTGAATTTTTTGGGTAATTTTACATGAAACAATTATTTTCTATTTTTACTCTGATGAAATATTTGTGCATAAAATGTCAATATAGTAAAATAAAACATAAAACTGTTACACAGCTAATGTTCTGGTGATTCATTTGTTTTTCAGAATGGCTACCACAGTTTTGTTTTGTTTTAAAGTAGCTAGTTTTAAAGAAAAGTAGTATGCACAATTTCATTTCAACATCTTAAGCACAAAGCTGAGCACAAAGCTGTTTCAAAAGAGAAGCAAAAATAGACATCAAGCTTTCTTCAAAACCGATTTCTTCACCTTTAAACAGCTATATCTTTTTGGACTTGTGTTAGGACATAAAGGGTGCATCTACACAGCTCCCAAAACTCAAAATAAGATAAGTAATTTGCGCTATGCAAATTGCATAGCTTATTTCTAGTCTATTTTCAAAATAGCTTATTTTGTCATTTGGCACTGTCTACACAGCAACAAATTCCGAAATAAAGCACTATTTTGAGCCATCCTTTACTTTTTATTGCGAAATATTTACAGGGATGGCAAAATAGCGCATCCGCTATATTTTGAAATAGTGGATGCGTTCAAAAGACGCGGGGTAGCTATTTCAGGATACCTCTGGTATCCTGAAATAACTTTGCTGTGTAGATGTACCCAGAGTCTGTCTTCAAGATGCTTGATTTTGTGACACATTTCCTGTTCTTGTTTGTGCTATAAAAGCCTCATAACTTATTTTAATGGAGGAGGAGTCAGTGCATATGCATGATGAAATTATCTGAAACGTGATTCAGAATCTTTTGTCGATCTTTCCTGTAAGAATGTTCTATATGTGTGCAGATTAAAATAAAACTGGCCCTTTTCATATTAGTTTGTGTTAACACATGATATGTAAAATATGCTACTTATACAAATATGTTGCATTTTGTTGTTGCATGTAGGCTGTATTAGTGGTTGATAATCATAGAACCACCTCTAGAGAAGCTGCTAAGCACTCTGTACTTCTTCACCTGCACCACAGCACTGCAGCCCTCCAACCTCCCCATTCCTCTAAAGCAGTGTTTCTCAACTTTTTTTTTATAAAGTACCCTTTAAAAAAAAAAAAAGTACCCCCAGTACCTGCAGTGTTCAGACACACAATTTTTTTCTACCATTGCAACACATTTGTTTAAACAACTTAATTGTAGCCAGGCGGGAAATTTTTGAGTGTAAAAAGTACAAAAATAATAAAACTTAAAACAAAAATTCAGTTTTCTCTAAATTTCAGTTGTTGACGTACCCCCCAGACATCTCTTGAGTACCACTAAGGGTACTTGTACCACTGGTTGAGAGAGGCTGATCTAGACCATATCTCCAGAAATATCTCCTTAGGCAACTTATTCCAGTGTTTAACCACCCTGACAGTTAGGAACTTTTTCCTAATGTCCAACCTAAACCTCCCTTGGTGCAGTTTAAGCCTATTGCTTCTTGTCTTGTCCTATCCTCAGAGACTAAGGAGAACAATTTTTCTCCTTCCTCCTTGTGACATACTTTTAGATACCTGAAAACTGCTATCCTGTCGCCTCTCAGTCCTCTCCTTTCCAAATTAAACAAGCCCAATTCTTTCAGTCTTCCTTGATAGGTCATGTTCTCTAGAGCTTTAATCATTCTTGTTGCTCTTCTCTGGACCTTCTCCAATTTCTCCACATCTTTCTTGAAATGTGCCCAGAACTGGACACACTACTCCAATTGAGACCTAATCAGCGCAGAGTAGAGCAGAAGGATGACATGAAGAATGATGCACAGCTTGACTTGAATTCCAGTTTTTGGAGAGATGACAGTAGCCACATATATTTTACTTTTAAACTGAGCAAAGCTGCTATATGAATTTCTGAGAAACAAGTATAGAATTCTGCAATTGCAGTTTTTAATGGTGTCACTTTTTGAATTTCAACCACCATGGCTCTATCTCCTAATTGTTTATATTTTTTTGTAAATTTGAAATTGTTGGATCTGATTTTTATATTCTCAGAGGTGTAAAAGACCTTGTTAGTTTAAAGAAGATGCTAATCAACAATTTCATCTCTTATGGCACTCATTTACACAATGGTCTTTATGTGGGCTGGAAAAAAATACCTCCAGATTTTCTAAATCAGTATAGTACCACTGCTGCTAACAAATCTATAATGATTTATACCAGCTGAGAAATCGGTCCATATTAGCTAGGGTTTATTTTTTTTAATAATAGAAACAGTTATCTTCCTGCTCTGTCAAATTCTGGAATCAGCCTCAATGAGATCAGCAGCTGCTTTTGCGGAAAACTTGCCAGCTGTCTACTCTGGCCGCTTGAATTTCCGGAAGAACACTGACTTCCTACTGTCTGAAATCAGTGCTTCTTACGGAAATACTATGCTGCTCCTGTTCAGGTAAAAGTCCTTTTGCACAAAGCTTTTGCGCAATAGGGCCAGTGTAGACAGCTCAGATTTGTTTTGTGCAAAAGAGCCCCGATCGTGAAAATGGTGATCGGGGCTTTTTTGCAGAAAAACGCGTCTAGATTGGCACGGATGCTTTTCTGCAAAAAGTGCTTTTGCGGAAAAGCGTCCGTGCCAATCTAGACGCTCTGTTCCAAAAACGCTTTTAACAGAAAACTTTTCCGTTAAAATCATTTCCGGAAAATCATGCCAGTCTAGACCCAGCCACTGTGTGTGTCCAGAGGTTTTTTGTCCTTTTAGAGGACAACCTTATTCTTTCCAAGTTTCCTCCATCTCCCCTCCTTCACTCCTCCCCTGCCCCATGGCTCCCCCCCCCTCCCCCCCCCCCCCCCCTAGACAAGCTCCAGGGCTCAGAGGGGGA